AGACCCATCTCTTTGCTGAGACTTCAGGTGAAAATAAAGATAAATACAGCAGGCAAAATAATAATAATAGTATTTGCAGGAAAAAAATTTCTTGTTGCTTCAGCTTTGTAAAACAAAAGGGCAGTTGGCATTTTCATGACTTTTTTTCCCTCTCACTTCTTACTACTGCTTTGTCATGGTTCCTCTGAAACTTCTGGTCACCTTACATTTGATCCCAGGTGATAACCAAAATAATTTCAGGTCTGTTTCTTCTCAGGTTTCTGTACTTGTTCTTTCTAGGCCATGCATTAAAATTATTTTGTGGTTTATCACTTGAATAACCTCAATTTCAGTAGCAAGCATCTTTGGAAAGGCTATTAATAGAGCATTAGGAGTAAAAAAAAATGTTCTTTATGCATTTGATTTTCCTTGTAATCAACCCACTTGAGGGTGTGTCCATGTCTACTGGTTACTATTTGTATGACCTTGGGTAAGTTCTTTAGAATAGATGACCTCTAGGCCAGATCTATGTTCCTATGATGCTAAGAAACTCCCTTCCAGCTCTATCTGTGGTGATGTTTACACTGAGTTGGAAAATAGAGAACTGCTGATTATCTAGATATTTCAGGAGAAATATGCTGTGCTACTAAAGTTACTTTTTTTTATTTTTAAATTTTTATGGTTAAAATTCTTTGTCTACACTATCAGATTTCCCAGATGATTGTTTTTACTCTCCTTGTCACAGGTGTCTGCTTTCCAATGTTTAAAAATTTTGTGGCAATATGCTATTTTGCTACCTGGTTACACATTGTCCCCCAGTGCTCTAATGCACTGTAAATCTACTCATTTGGACATCACCTTTTCAATAAACAGTGATTATGAAGAGGAGGACGAAATAAAGGAGGAAACTGTGGCTGTGGTTCCCAACTGCATTTAAAATGAGAAGGCTACAGGCTGTTTCTCTGAAGTAGTCCCCAGGCTTACTTATGGTTTGGAAGGAAGGAAGTCTAGGAGACCAAGTGGGCAATAGCAGCAATCTTGTGTCTAGTTGATGTAGAAGAGGCATTAAGAACTATGGGAAAGCACACAAGATCAGGACTCAAGAGATGGAGGCTCTTTTTAGTTCTGGCCCTAACTACCTATATGACCTTGGCAAGTCACAACCTCTGCAGGCCTCAGTTTCCTCATCTATCAGATACAAAGATTGGATTAGAATCAGGCATGGGGAGCCTGCGGTCTCCAGGCCGCATGTGGCCTTCTAGGTCCTCAAATGTGTCTCTTTGACTAAATCCAAACTTCATGGATTTGTTCTGTAAAACTTGGACTCAGTCAAAAGGCTGTACCCGAGGACCTAGAAGGCCACATGTGGCCTTGAGGCCGTAGGTTTCCCAGCCCTGGTAGATGCTCTCTAAGTTACTTTCAGCTCTAACATTCTGTGCTTCCATGGAAACTCTGTTCTTCTCCATGTACCAGTGAGTCTTGGCTCCAGAGACAGCGTGAGTATATTTAGGTGTGAGCTGTAAATTGATGTGACATCCATTCAGGTATTAGTCTTCCATTTTTCATCTTAATCTTCATAGTGAGCATTTACTTAATTAAAAAGTATTAGGACTAGGGAAAAGACTCAATGCAGATGCCATGCTCTCTCAATACCACTATGTTTGATAATATTGATAATATTTTCTAATGGACACAACCAGTATTTCTCAATAAGCACCCAAGCATTCCTACCAAGTACAGTCATGTTGCATTTTTCTCTACCTATTTATAGGATCACTCTCTATGATTCTCCCAAAGGATGAGAGATTCCATCCAAAATCAAGAAAGGTATCTTCAAAGTAATATGAAAGTAGCCTCTGTTTTTTTTTTTTCCTAATTCTTCTTGACTCCTCTCTTCAGTAAGAGCACTCTTTCCGAGAAAGCATTGTGAAGATGAGCAGGGTAGCCACAGATTTCAGAAAGCAGTAAATATGTTGAAATCAAGTAAAAAAAATGGGAATTTGTGGTGAATCAGAAGAACCCAGGATTTTTTTTAACAGAAAATTTAATTCTATTTGGCTCCCCCCCACCCCAAATTCCATTTGATATTTTACATTTCTTTTATAACTTAATAAAGGATCTCAGGGAATAGTTGCAGAACTTTAGCCTAGTGAAAGAATTTGTCATATGTGGCATTTCTTCTCTAAATAGCATGGGAGATCAATGCATTAGTTTGTAGCTCATGCGTTACTAATCCTAGCTATTCGAAAAAGAAACATCATGTTATACAGCAAATAGGGCCCAATGGAGGATTGAGTGGATCTGAAAATAACTGAAGAGAAGTTTTGTGCCATAAATGGGCAGCAACTTGTAGCTTTCTATAACATTTATCTATAGGATCATAGATTTAGAGCTGGAAAGGATTGTAGAGACCATCAAATCCAGTACCCTCATTTTACAGATGAGGAGACTGAGGCACAGAAAACTTAAGTGGATTAAGTGTCAGTTTTGGAGACCATAAGAAAATCAACATGAATAATTTTGGAGGTGTTACTTGCCAAGTTACTTGAAGTAATTTATGGCTCATATTTCCTCTCCATGGAGTTGAGCTAAATCCCTTTTAGCTCTGAAATCTAGGTGCCAAGGTGAGATCCAGCCCTGGAATTTTATATACTAACATTTTATGTTTTAAGGTTTGTGTTCCAGCTCTAACATTCTATTTCTAAGGTTCCTTCCAAGGCTAACATTTGGTTTCTAAGGACCCTTCCAGCTCTGACTTCATATGATTCCCTGAATAATGATAACAATACAGTTTCTTTACATTTGCATAGTATTGTGTAATTTTCAGAGAACTTTGATATATGTTCTGTCATGTCCTTACAACAACATTGTGAAGCATGTAAGATAGATCTGGGTGTGTGTGTGTGTGTGTGTGTGTGTGTGTGTGTGTGTGTGTGTGTGTGTGTGTGTGTGTGTGTGGTGGGGGTTGGGGGTGGTATCCTCATTCCACACATGAGCAGCTGAGGTTCATTTACAATGTGACTTAGCCAAATCACTCGACCTTTTTAGGTTTGTCTCAAGTTCTTCCTCCATGAGACAAGGTGGATGGACTAGATGATCTCTAAGGTTCTTCCCAGCTCTCAATCTGATGATCCTGTGACTTGTGTGACTCCATATAAGGTCACTAAGTAGCTGAACTGGGACTTGAAACTAGGTCTTCTGACTGTCAGGGCTATTCCCATTATGGGCTCCGTCTTTAATATTGAAATAAAACTAAAAGTGTCATTCTTCCTTTTAGCAAGTGGTCTTCATCATTGCCAACATCATAGCTGATATTCATGTAACATATCAGGGTTTACCAAAAGCTTTTTCTATGCACCAACTCTGTTATCATTCATTTATTTCTTTGCCAGTTTCTTCTTTCTCCTGAAACAATCTACTTTCCATTTACATTTATTCTAAAAGGGCATTGACAAATTGAAAATTATAGGGGCAGCTAGGTGGCACAGTGGATAGAGCACCGGCCCTGAAGTCAAGAGGACCACCTGAGTTCAAATCTGGCCTCAGACCAAGTGCTTGACACTTACTAGCTGTGTGACCCTGGGCAAGTCACTTAACCCCAGTTGCCTAAAATTTAAAAAAAAAAGAAAGAAAATTATAGTGGCATATTAAAATGCTTTAAACTTTGGCTATTCCGGATTACTTGCTATTCCTAAAACTCAGGTCTAAGCCACTTCCCTATTCAGAAATCTTGAGTCGCTCATTATTGCCTCTGAGAGAAAATGCTCCTCAGCATGGCTGAGACACTCCACAAGCTGGGGCCCATTTTTCTTTTTCTTTTTCTTGTCAAAGTGGAGAACAAAAAAAAAGGAAAAAATAAAGTGGAAAACTATAATTTATGTAAAGAAACTAACAACCCTTTGGTTTTAGGCATTGTCTTTATTATTTTTTCACAAAAATTGCTGGTAATATTTTGGTGTATGTAGGATTTTTCTGGCTTTGACCTCCTTGAAATAAATGCATGTGATGGAGTCAACTGTCTACCTTTCCAGATTTATTTCCTATTTTTCCCTTTCAGGCACTATATTCCAGCTAAACTGGCCTTCTAGCTATCCCCTGAACTTGATATGCATCTTTGAAGAGACTATCTCTCCTTCCTGGAATGCACACCTTCCTTTGCTCCACCTTGTAAAATCTCTAGTTCCACTTAAGGCTCAGTTTAGGTGCTACCTTCTACAGGAATCCTCTCCTGATATCCTTCCTCCCCTCTCCCTAACCTCATTCCCTCCTTAATATTCTTTCCCACTTGAAATTACTTGGTATATGTGTTGTATCTTCCCAGAAAAAATGTAAACTCCATAAGAGGTAGAGATGGTTTTATGGTTATGAATGGAAGGAAGAAAGGGAGGGAGGGAGGAAGGTAGGAGAAAGAGAAAGATAGAAGGAAGGAAGGAAAGAAGGAAGGAAGGAGGGAAGTAAGAAAGGAGGGAGGCAAGGAAGGAAAGTAGAAAGGAAAGAAGGGAGGAAGGAAAGAAAGAAGGAGGGAGAGAGGGAGGAAAGGTCGGAAAGGAGAAAAGAAGGAAGGAAAGAAGAGCTTTTATTAATTAAAGGTCTACTGTGTGACAAGCACTATGCTAGGCACTGGAAATACAAAAGTCTTCCCAATATGCTAATGGGAGAAGACAACACATATGGGGAAAGGGTGACCAGAGAAGGAAGCCTTTGTCTATAGTCAAACATATTGTGAGTAGAGCCAGAGGATAGTCAGTAGATTTTTGTGCCATTCCAATCACCTAACACGTGGAACAGTGTCTGACAGTAGGTACTCAATGAATATCTGTTAAATTGGACTTATTCATGTTATAACCTCTTGTTAAGATTTTGGCCACCTAATTAAAGTGATTTCCCGTATCACGGTTGGTTCTTGGGTGGAAGGGAAGACTGTGATGCATATTGACAATTCATTTTCAATGTCTTTAGATATGTATTGCTCATTAAAGCAATAATAATAGTAATAAACTTAGTATTCTTCATTCCTCCAGATGGTAGTAGACAGGAAGACGCAGAAGGAGAAATTAGTGAGGAAGAACATTGGTTTGGAAACTCTTCGGAGACCCCATCAGAAGCATCCTATGGAGAAGTCCAGGAGAATTATAAACTTTCTCTCGAGGACAGAATCCAAGAGCAATCAACTTCCCCGGACACTTCCTTGGGAAGTGCGACCCCCAGTAGCAATACCTTGGAGCTGATAGCTCTGGAAAGTGAGGCCCTACGAGACCCATTACAGTGTCAAGGTCACCTTTCTCCTGGTGTGTCTTCTTTGTGTGATGATGATACCCCTGGTTCAAACAAGCCTCTGAGCAGCAATCTGAGGAGGCTGTTGGAGGCTGGTTCCCTCAAACTAGATGCCACAGTCACCGCCAATGGCCGAGTGGAGTCTCCAGTCAACCTTGGCTCAAATCTCTCCTTTTCTCCACCATCTCATCATGCCCAACAGCTAAGTGTTCTTGCTAGAAAGCTGGCTGAGAAGCAAGAACAGAATGACCAATACATTGCTGGTAATCGCTTCATATGGAATCAAGGCAAATGGCTGCCAAACTCAACCAACACCTGCGGCTTGTCGCCTGATTCTGCCATCCTCAAGTTGAAAGCAGCAGCCAACGCTGTCCTCCAGGACAAATCTCTCACGCGGACTGAGGAGACGATGCGGTTCGAATCCTTCCCTTCACCGTTCAGCTCCCAGTCTGCCAGTTCCACTTTGGCAGCTTTATCCAAGAAAGTGAGTGAGAGAAGCTTGACCCCTGGGCAGGAGCACCCTCCCCCTGCCAGCTCTTTTCTCTCTCTGGCTTCTATGACCTCCTCAGCAGCTCTTCTGAAAGAGGTCGCTGCAAGAGCTGCTGGGAGTCTTTTGGCCGAGAAGTCTTCACTGGTGCCTGAAGATCCTTTGCCGCCTCAGCCTTTGGAGAAAAAACAAGAAAAAGGAACCCCACCCCAGTCCTTGGAGTTACTGTTGCTCCCCGTACCCAAGGGAAGGGTTTCAAAACCCACAAATCCAGGTAAGAAATCTTTGATTTTAGCCATCTTACTCAAGACATCTGGGTTTGCTTGTCAGTTTCCCTAAGGTCCTGTTCCATTTTATTGTTTCCTTTCCAGGCTGGGGTACGGATAAAAAATAAAAATAAATAAAAAGGAAAACAAAACACTTTAAACAATATGGTGGCTTTTTGCGTCTATGTCAAACAAAGCCTTCATATTTGATAGGTAATGATATATCTTTGAGCTCTATAATACAACCCTCCTCCCCTTCAAACAAATGAAATTTTTTTTTCCCTCACCAAGTTTAGGCTAGGTCCATACAAAATATATTTAATGGGGAAGATCAAAGGATTACTGTCGGGGAGCGCATGGCATCACTGAACATGTGAAAACCAGTGCTTTTGAAATATTGGACAAGGGAGAACTCTGCATCCTGCTGCCTTCATCACAAATGGACTTTTGTATAATCAGCTGCTTGCTCTGGCCTAATTTGCCCCAGTATATACTATTATGTTTCCACTTTTTGTTACATTACAGATAGGGAACCTATTTCACTTGATTCCTACATAATTCCTTAAGAAAAAGAAATGAATTTTAGATATTTCCCATCATTAGTTAATGAATACTGTCTCTCTTTCTGTCTTTTTATGTCTTTCTTTTTTTCTGTCTCTCTCTTTTTTGTCTTTGTCTCTGTCTCTTTCTCTTTGTGTCTCTGTCTCTCTGTCTCTGTATATCTCTCTCTGTCTCTTTCCATCTCTCTGTCTATCTTTTTCTGTCTGTCTGGCTTTCCAGACTTGTGATTTGTCAGTTGGAGGACAGAATATTCCAGTGTAAAAACTCCTTCTACCAATGTTGATGGTCACCTTCTGTAACTCATCTGTAATTTATACTCATAGAGAGCCACCTGGGACATTAGGAAGTTAAGTGATTTGCCCATGATCACATAGCTAGTATATGACAAAGTCAGGGCTTGAAGTCAGCTCTTTTTGATTCCAAAGCCAGCCCTCTGTTCCCTCTAGCTGGCTTTCCTAAAAGGAGGTTCACATGGAAAATTCACAACCCAGGTTTTTTCCTCTGGAAAGGCTATGTTGGATTGATCTAGGAAATCATTTAATGCAAGAGGAAACTTAGACACTGGTGTGACCTCAGGTGGCCATATCATCTCTCTTCTGGTTTTGTTTATAAACGGCATGAATTGAATACTCAGGTTTCCATAGGAGTGTATATGGAGCTTAAGTGGTTTTTTTTATCAAGAATATTCTGCCAAACTGGAAAAGGAAGTTGTTGTTGTTGGTTCTTTGTTCTCAAAGAGGACCAATGATGTCATGAGGGTGATGTCTTGACTTACACATGAATTGGATTTAAGTGAGGCAGAGCTGTGCAAAGTCATCAGCCTCACTCTCTCCTCCAGAGTCATTGGAGTCCAGTGACATGACAAAAGTCTAGATGATGGTGATGGCCCCTTTTCAGGTAGATTGGGTAAATTGAGTAGAGGTGTGAAGAAGCATGAATTAGAAGTAATGCATTTGGGGATCCAAAGCCAACTGTTCTTGGACTCTTTTTTGTTTGTTTGTTTTTTTAGTGAGGCAATCGGGGTTAAGTGACTTGCCCAAGGTCACACAGCTAGTAAGTGTTATGTGTCTGAGGCTGGATTTGAACTGAGGTCCTCCTGACTTCAGGGCTGGTGCTCTATCCCCTGCGCCACCTAGCTGCCCCTGTGGTTGGACTCTTAACAAGGAACAACATTGCACATACTACTCAGTTACTCAGAGAAAAACCTTCAGGAATGATCCCTAAAAGGGGCTTAGAATGCTTACTCAAAGTTCTTGTGTGTTGCAAAGTCAGGGAGGCAGCGAAGTTGAGTTCCCCTCCCCCCAACCCCCCTGTCCATGAAGGAGGAATCAGCTGCTGGCAGTAGCCCTAATGAGAGAACCAGCCTTTCTCCTACTCCAGGGCTGCCAGTATATAAACACAGGGAGCCCAAGGGCCTCTTTGCTGTTCCTCTTAATGTGACTTGGGTCCTATGAGTGGAATGAATTTGTTGACCAGATGGATAGTAACAGGTAAGCCCCTGGTGGCAGATCAGTGCAGCTCTGGGGAATCTGGTGTTTATGGATGGCATTGTTGTACATCTATGTGAAAGTCTAGTGTGTTGGGACACACTGCAAGGGGCCTGAGGTTTTAGACACAGAGTATACCAAAGGACAGGCTGATAACATTAGTGGCAGTTAGTCCTGGACATTTTTTTGAGAGGGAGCCTGCAGCAGTGAATGGCTGCTCCCCTCTGGAATTCCTCTTCTCCTTCTTTTCTGCCTAAAGCGAGGCCCAGCTTTAATCTCATATACACAATGGCTGCATGAATTAAGGAATGAATGAAAAAAAAGCATATATTTAGCACTGTGTGGAAAGCACTGTGCTAAGTGCAGGGAGTATATTATTGGTGTTTGTCCTTCATTCTTGAAGAGGACCATGATATCAGGAAGATGATGCCATGACTTGCAAGTGAATTGTATTTAAGCGAGACAGGGCTGTGCAAAGTCACCAGCCTCACGTTCTCCTCTGGAGCCATCTGGGTCTGGTGTCTAGATATAGATCAGGACAACTGGAGATGGGCCTGATGCAGTGGGAGACCTTGGTCTTTTTAGGTGAAGATTTTTAACAGGTCTCAGTTTGACTGAAGCAATACCCATTCAGTGATTAAGGCTAAGTAAGAAATGAGCCAGAGAATGGCCTCTTTACCTAGTCCAAAAAAAAAAAAGTCAATCTGGGACTGTTTTGGACAGAAATCCTGATACAGGCTCTACCAAGGGGTACCAAAAAGATCCCCTGGTATAAAGGATGGTAGTTAACCTCATAAAAGAACAAAGTCCAATTTGATACTTAATGGTTAGGTTAGCATTCTAGACACACCACAGGGAATATAAAAAAGGAAAGCAAGACAGGCCTTGCTCCCATTCTAGTAGAGGGGCATATCAATGTGGAAGTCAGGAAGACCTGGCTTTGAATCCTACCTCAGACACTAGTTGGGATTCTGGGTAATTCCTTGAACTTCTTCGGAACTCAATTCCCTCATTTTCAAAATGAGAGGGTTGATCCTGGTGACCTCTAAGGGCCCTTCCAATGATAACTGTTAACTGTTATCTTTGGAGCCCTCCCCTGTTCTCTGGGGAAGCCTTGGTTGGGAGGATTGGGATAGGTGGTAGTGGTAAAGGTGACCATGTCAGGGGTCATGGCAGCCTTACAATGGAAACATCTCTGTCACTGTCATCATGCATTTATTAAGTGGCTGATAGTCTGAGAAACCTACTAGAGTCTGGGAACAACTTGGCTCCATTCCTTAGTCTCAATTAATATGCTAAGGTAGATGCAGCAAACTAGGAGCAGTGACACACCCAAGTTGTGAATTATGCCTCTGGATAGTGTGTGTGTGTGTCAGACAGCTTTGAACAAATAGTATATGTATAATATCAATGAATAATAATAGGAATATTCTTGACCAAAAAAAAATCACTTAAGTTCCATATATACTCTCATGGAAACCCGGGTATACAACTTATGCCATTTATAAACAAAACCAGAAGAGAGATGATATGGTCACCCTGAGGTCACAGTAGTGACTTAGCTTTCCCTTGAATGAATGGTTTACTAGATTAATCCAACATAGTCTTTCCAGAGTACAAAACCTTGGGAAAAGGAAGTGGGACATATAGGTATCTTCATCATTGCAAAAGATGTCTTCTTGTGTGGCTAGCCTCCTTTTGTTGATTTGAAGGAATCATTCATGTGGATTATTCAAAATAATGACTAATTAACTTCTTAACCAATGCTGCCATCTTCATTATGCTTATTGTAGCTTCCACTTAAACTACTATTTGATTATATGCTGACTTGTAATCATTTTCAAAACTGTATTATTAGCACAGTTCTATCCCAGTGATGCTAGAAAAGAAATAGAGAGATGGACCTTTTGGGGTCTTTTTTTGTCCTGAAGAAAGCAGTTCAAAATGATGTTTGTTTAATCTTCAGGTAGTCACGTCCAAGATAATGGAGTTGTTTTCATTTCTTTTCTTTTTTTTTGCCTGCTGTCTGACAAAATACAGTGGTAGTACAGTGGAAAGAACCCTGAAATTGGAGTCACAGACCCTGAGTGTGAATCCTGGTCCTATCATGCGCTCCCTCTATGACTGTGAGCAAATTAGTGCTTAACCTCTCCAAACCTCAGTTTCATCATCTGTAAAATTAGGGAATTGGCCTGAGTGGCCTCTAAGGTCCCTTCCAGTTCTAAATGTATGGTCTTATTGTGGGAAAAATACAAAAAATCAGGCAAGCCAAAAAAAAAAGTGGTAGATTTGGATGATAAAAATAACACGGAGCATTTACATGATCCTTTACAATTTGCAAAGTGCTTGACAAATATTATCTCATTTGATCCTCAGAAAAACCTGGGAAGTGGGTTGCTGTTTATTCCCAGTTTACACATGAAGAAACTGAGATAAATGGAGGTTTAAGTGATTTTCTCAGTGTTACACAGCTAGTATCAGAAGCAGGATTCAAATTTGGATCTTCTCACCTAGTTGCCTGTGATAGACAATCACTCTTATGTACTGGAGCCATCCTCTCAATAATCAGTAGTTGGACTGAAAGTGGTTAGAAAGGTGCAGGTCATAAATATGGTTACCACTATGGCTGCTACTTTTGTTCCTGCTAATAGCTGATACCATCTATTGCTTTAAACTTTGCAAAGCATTCTCCATTCTCATTTGAGCCTCATAACCATCGTCTGAGGTATTATTACTAGTCCCATTTTACAGATGTGGAAACTGGGGCTCAGTGAGCTAACATAAGAATAGCAAGCATTCTATGGAGAAGTTAGGTGACTCGCCATGGTCACTGTCAGAGGTAGGATGTACCCCTCCTATCTATTTTCTGAATACATTGGGCAATTAGGATTTCTGTTAAAATTCATTTTGACAAGACTTGGAGAAAGAAGCTGTCTTTTGGTCATAATAAACTCCACTTT